AGTATTAGAATTCAGCAGAAATTAGAGAGGGGCTTCTGGGACATGAGATGTGGTGAAAGGAGGAATTTACACAGCAAAGCAAAGAGAGTATAAAACAAGGGAGGGGAGATACATGTCACTGCAACCGTCTATGCTGAGTAGACTTATATTCTGGCACTGAGGTTTTGTACAGTATATAGCTCTTAGTTTTCATCATTCTTAAACTGAAAAGACCTATACTGATGTTTCATTTTCTTCCATATAGACTAGCTTTCTGATTGGTTGACAGCCACAGTCTGACATATACATTAGGGGTGTAACGGTTCAAATTACTCACGGTTTGGTTTTTATCACGGTTTTAGGCTATGCAGGGGGGAAAAGGACTACTGTCAAATAAAAATAAAGAAAATAAGAAATAATCAAACTACAAGCAACAGCACCAAATAAATACAATAGAATAAAGATACAAATAAAATAAACAGCGCTTTTAAGGTTATTTAGGTATCTAATGGTAGTTTTCAGGTACAGAAACTGAATAAAGTAATCAAATGTAAAACAACATATAATCTTCAATGTATAAATTAAATAAAGGTTAATCATTATTAAAGTTACAAAAGGTTTTCAGTCAAGAGCAGGAAGTGTTTTTTTGTCTTTTCACGAGTTCACACTTACATACAATTAGAGTGGGTAAGGTATAATGCGTATTTGGCGTGCTGTCCGGGGGGAGGGCTCCGAGCTCGGAGTTTGGCCCGAACCCAGAGTACTCCCCCCTATATAAGTGTTTAGGACTAGAAGTGTGGAGAAGGGGAGGTGGAGGGATGCTGCTAAACTATCAATGGAGTGAGGTGAGATTGCTGAATCTATACCTCTTATCATTGATTGCTGTGTGCACTCCACCCGTGTTAATTAACTGAACGTGCTCCTCCCGAGCTTTGTTAATAAAACATAATTTGTTGTTTGATTAACATTAAAAACATAAACAGCAGTTACTGCCGTTACTTTAAGACATAATGCACATTATTTTACAGAGAACAGACCCCTAGTGCGTCTAATCAGGTACATCAAAATAATTACTATATTTTGCTACTTCTTCTTTTTTTTCCTTTTTTTGCTATTTATAATAATTAATTGTACTCTATAATGGCAAAATGACTCTAGAAATTAAGGTAAAATTAAATATTAGATTTAAATGAAAGTACTAATGTCTTTATCAAAATAAACTTTGGTAGTGAACTAGCAAAGTGTCCACTATGAATATCAGCAGATGCAGTAGGTATTCTGGGTATTGTCAGTAGTGTGTCACGTGCCCACAAGCTCTCTGTCTCGCGCCACCGTCTGAGCCTCCTCCCTCATCTCAACCAGCAACGGCAGCACACTGGATCAATTCGGATCAGCAATCATGCGGCCGCGCGGAGAATACGGTAAGGCAGATGTGTGTGTGTGTACAGCTGACAGCAGAACCGCCGTTATATTTATGCTTTCAGACATCGTTGTGTGTTGCTCATCCCGGTGTCGGCGGAAGGCACGAGCTGAGGAGATGCAATTGTTGCGGATGAACCAGATGCTCTTTGTCAGCGCTGTTGAGCCAGTCGGCATTTAGCTAATACCGCAGATTTTCCATTTAACATTTTTGATAAGATGGGAGTCATAATGAATCAAAGGATTCCAGTTCCGATTCCTTTACGGTTCCATTATTAGGCTATATTCTTTTAGTAGGCTATTCTCGCGGAAAATATAGCCTATTTGGAAAAAAGTGAAATCTTATTGCCTGCTGCCTCTGGACAGTTTCGAATGATGACAATTCCTAAATAAATTTAAAGTATAGGCTATACAGCTACTTTTTAATGAATTTTCACTGACTTCTTGTCGTAGCGTTATGATGCTACATAATACTAAAAAACAAAAATGTTATTAATTAATTACTTAATTATTTTTTAATGAAGTAGCCTACCATCGATTACATAGGCCTAACTCATATTGTGTATCTCTAACTACATGTTGTCATGCCCAAAGTAGCCATATCTATACAGCAATAACGGCTCTTGTTTCATCATCTCCAGTTTCATATGACAGATGTAATAGCCTACCGTGTTCAGAATGTGAATCGGATGATTTCAGCATCCGCTCTGATATCTTTTATTCACTAAAAATAATCGGCTCGTAAGAGTCATTCCTTCGGGAATCGGATCACACTCGAGCTGTGTGTTTTTGATTCACTTAGAAGAACCGGTTTGGGAGTCAGAGTACATGCACTCGTACGTATGAACTTCAGTCGTGGTGTTGCGTTTGAGATAGTGCGGGAAACACGGTGTCAGTTAGTACTGTTCCGTTCACATTGTGAGAAGAATGTATGAGAGCGTGTGTGCGTTTGAGACACTTGAATATTTTTTTCAATCCCCAGCTCATCCTCGCGCCTCCCTCCCTGAACGAGGTCCTTAAATGACCCACGGCGATTAAGGAGCTCGCGCTTTCCCTGTCCGGATCATGGCATGCGCCCCATCCCGGACTTCCACACGCGCGGCGCCGAGGCTCGAGAGCAGTGAACATGGGGATCAGGTCCAGAAATGCCACTAACGCCGCCGAGGATTCACGCGAGCGCAAGAGCGCGCTGGCCGGAGACCTGGAGCAGTGCGCGGGGCAGGAACGGGACGGCGCGCTGCTTCTCGTCGGTTCGGTCAGGGAATCGGACTTCAAACGGGGCTCACAGAACATCGGTCTGCTCGCCAAGACGCCCCTGGGCTACACGCGTCCTGTGAAGAGGAATAATATCAGGACGCGACGGATCCAAACCCTCATCTACGACGCGCTCGAGAGACCACGAGGATGGGCGCTGCTTTACCACGCGTTTGTGTAAGTGGACCCGATGCATTTCACACCCAGAAGCGCCCACACACAGAGGGATCAGCCCAGTTAATTATACATTACAACAATTCAGTTTAATCCAATTTATTTGTACAGCCCTTTTTCATTGTTCCAGCAGCAGCTTTACAGAGAATGTAGCCCCTTAAAGGCAAAGACAACCTGCCTATAATAAGATTTTATAATTACTGATAAATGACCCAAATAAAGAGAGGAAATTGAATGCAAATACATAAAAATCCCATTTATGCCTTTACTGAATCTTGGCTGGAATTGATGTACACAAAGATGTAACCAAATACTCAAGATTAGGGGAGCAAATTTAAAAGTTTAAGAGTCAGTAATTGAAAAACCCATACTGATTCAACACTAATCTGAATATTGAGGTTCTCCTTAATGTTTATGATGGTGTCCTCTGATTTCAACTGAATAATAACTTGTTTACTTTTGTCTTTTGATCATCATTGCATTGTTATTTTCCTGTTTATCACTGCAAAGCTGCTTCTAAACAATCTGTATGTATTTTATAAAGTGCTGTAGAAATAAAGGTGACTGTGTAGAGAGGGATAGCTTGCCTTTTAATAAGTAGGAAAGCAGTGTTTTGATCACACTCTGAGTTTTGTGCTTTTGCAGTGAGCACTTTGTAGTGTATAATGTGTGCCCATTTGTGCTGGAGCTGTCCATGGTGCTGAGGCAGAGCACGACCTCCAACTGCTACCGCCAGAGTTGAGTGACCAGAAATCAAATCACTTATAGCTTTCTAGATGCTGTTTGTTGTAGTATAACAGCACCAGACGCTCACCGTAGAGCCAGAGATACTGCCTGTTATCATCGTGGCGCTGAGATAAGGACACTGTGTGCTGCTGTGACACTGAAGTAAAGAGCTTGACAAAGTGCCCCTGGTCTGTGGAGCTGTCCGTGGTCCTGATATCTGTATCGGTTGAGCGATATACAGAAGTAACAGCATTGACAATGCATAAGTGATCCTTATCTTTGAGAAGCAAGAATGTTAATGTTGGTTAAGTGGAAATTGTTTTTTGTAAGGCATTAGAGTGCAGATGAACAACTTCCTTTGAATCCCCAAGCTTGACACTAAACCTCTGTTGGCTACTCACACACAAACACACATTATTCATGGCCCATTTTCTATCCAGTGCTCTTAATGCCTTATGCAGGATGTGGATCAAACAGTATCTGCAACTCAGCAGCACGTATTTTCTCCAGTGTGTCTGTGGTTTCTCAGACTGAATCAGGGCTTTTAACCAGGCCCTCATGTGAGGTATTCCACACCATATTAATGTGAATAATTGATTAAAAAATGCTTTATTTGCTGAAAAGTGTTGTGTGGTGAGTGTGGTGTGTGTGTTGTGTGTGTGTCTGAATGTGTTTATTTTGGAACAATTTGTTGTTAATAATTCAACTTGCCCCCACCCTGCCAGACCAGTGTATCTAGAGTCAGGGATTAAATTAAGTTGTTAAACAATGGGTGGGGCCGTCCTTTTTTTCTGTTGTTCAACTTATGCTTTTGTTGATCCCAGCATTGCTGTTCTCTGCAGAGCAATGTAAAAACAAAAGTAGTGTAAAATAGGGTTTACTCCTTTAAAGATTCAATAATAATTATACTATATAGTATACTTATGTATTATACCTTTACACACACACACAAACACAAACACACACACGTATATAGGCCTACATTATATATATAATTTGATAGTATTTATAGTATTTATTTAGTATAGTATAGTAGTATTTATACAGCATATATTATAATATATAGTTAATTTTGATATATTAATTGATGTTTTAGGTCATTAAACATTTGATTCTCAGGCTGCACCTCTAGAGATGTAATTAGCTTTATTGCAGGATGGGTGAGCCAATTGGTAACTTCCTGCAGTTAATTGCCTTAGTTGTTCCCATAGCAATGGGGTGCTTATGGACGATAGGTTGATATGAGAAAAAGGTTACACTTTATTTGAAGCTGTCAGTAGCCGCGTTTCCATTACAGATTTGCGCAAAACTTTTGCGATATTTTGTAAATGTCGATAAAAAAATATTGCGAAATGACGACGTCTCCATTAACCGATGTTATGCGACTAAAACGTCATTTTTACGTATATCCCAGCCACCACACTAGCTATTATTTTTAATGGAAGAAGTTATTAAAGTGCTAGTTATTCAAGCATTAATGGTAAGGAAAGCCCCTTATACTGGGGAGCGGCCACATATGAGATGCTTTTCCCTCCAATCTGCTTCAAGGTCTTGATAAATTGTGGCATTTCTTTGTTGTTTATAATCCAGTATTCCCGTAATACTTTTGTCTTTTATGAGTTTAATGAAGAACTCTGTCTCGTCTTCTGTCCAAACATACCGAGTCATCTTTAAAGAATGATCGACTTTTAAGTACGCCTGGTGACCTGTAAATGCGGAAAAAACTGTTTACATTGCAGTTTTGTGAAATATTCCTTTTTTGAATTGCCTGAAAAATCACATCATGCGAGCGTACATTTTTTTTTGCGATATATGGGAGTTTTTGCAAAATTTACGTGTTTCCATTGGGCGTATTTTTATTTCGCAATTTCAATTTGCGCAATTTGAAGGGTAATGGAAACAAGGCTATTGTTACAGTGGAATTATATATTTTAGTACTGAGTAATATTAATTAACAACATGTACTTACTATAGGGTTAGGGTATGATTAGGGCTTGGTTGAGGGTTAGTTGCATGTAATTATGCATATTCTATTCTTATTACTATGGTAAGTACATGTAACAGAAAGAAACAAGGACACTGTAAAGAAAAAAGTGTTACCTAGAAACATATATCTGACCAGCACACTTTTTACTTCCCTGTGTCTCATGTAGGGGGCCGTTTTACACGACACCTTTTTATTCGTTTTGGCCGTTCATTTACACAACAACAGCATTTTGGGGGTCTGAAAATGCAAAGGTTTAAGGTTTCATAGTCCAAGTTATTGAAAACAATACCGTTATCGTCTCTGTGTAAACTACACAAGTTTACGCAAATTCGTGGAAATGGTGACGTATTAAGTGTTTAGTGTATAGGTACATAGTGTTTCTTTACAAAGTGACATCGCCAACTACTGGCCTGGCCTGTATAATACAGCGTTTTTTTTAGTAGTTTTCGCTGATCCGTGTGAACGGGGATCATTTTGACAACGTTATTGTCTGTACGCAAAAATTGCACAGGAAAAACGTTTCCGTTTTTAGGACATCATTATTGTGTAAACGTACCCTAATTTGAAAATGTCAGACAAGTTGTTTCTGACAAGAAAAAAATGGATTTTAACTTACATAGGAAATCAACGATTGGGTGAGCGGGGGTGGCTGGTTGCTGGTGGAGTTGTGTAGAGAATAGAATAGAATCAAGTAGAATAGTGTATAGAATGTAGCAATGGTGGTATGGGATCAGCGGTGCTGCTTAGCTCAGTAAAAAGGGAGAGGTTTTGGGTTTCATGCATCCATTATACTTGCTCTTTAAAATTTGACAGGATGTGATTTTCAGCATTGAGTTCTCACTTTGCCTTTGGCTATCGATTTGTGACCACCATGTACAACAGGGAATTGCAAAGCATTTCTCTGAACGCAGGAATTCTTTGATCTATATCTCAGAAAAAGAATGTCCTACTTTTCTTGAACAATGAGATTTATCTTGTTTAAGGTGTCAGGTTGAAGCTGATTTACTCCGAACAGTTAAGCCAGTGTTATGAAGGGTCGCTTGCTTAATTAAACTTGCCATGTGCTTCATTAAATGAGTTTTGGAAAGGTGTCAGGTCATGTATGAATAATGGTTGAAGCAGACTTAGGTCAGGGCAATGATGATTAAGTTATACCACGCTCTTATGTTACCTTGAATATTTGATATCAAAAACGTGTGCTGCTGCAGCTGGACTGTGTTGTACGGTCTGGTCATAGCTTGTGGGTAACAGGGGCCAAGGCTTCTGGCTGCACTCTTGGCTAGAATCTCTAAGTGGAATTTGATACTGGCAGCTGAATCACACTTACACAGGGAGTTCAGCAAATACATAATGTGAGAATTTATGGATGATGAATAATATAACAAGCAGCAGCATTTTAGAATGGGGTGGGGGCAGCAGCCCCTCAATGGTTAAAGATCTGAGCTAGTAATCTGAAGGTTGATGCTGTGATTCATGAAGTGGAGAGCTACTGAGATCCTCCATCACAGTTTCGCCCTTGAGCGAAGCACTTAACCGCAGGTTGCTCTGGGTGGGACTCTCCTGTCATAAATATACTGTAAGTTGCTTTGGCTAAGAAAGTGTCAGCTGAATGACTAATAAAATAGCATGTTGGATGGATTCAAGAGGGCCTGTGAGGAGTGAGTTGCAGTAAACCAGTCTAGCAGAAGGTAATCTTCAAGTAAGGCTGCAGGAGCGTGTGGTTGTCGCAATGCAACGATAACTGAAGGTCAGGTGGACGATTCTCTAGGACGATTTCCAGGGTTTGCTCTCTCCTGGTGGGGATGACTTGTGACCTTCAACCCATAGAGAGAGAGAGAGAACATGTGAGGGAGGTTTGGACTGGTTCTGAGAGGAGCTCACTGTCTTTCCAGTTTCACTGCTGATTAATGTTGATTCATAGCTTTCAACAGCAAACAGAACCGTCCACCCCTATTCCTCACGCGAAGGTGATCCCACCTAATCCATTCTCTCCATTGATCCAGCCGTTATCCATAATTAGAACAAATGTATGCCTAAAGTAATAGTCTCCACATTCATATTAATATAACAAACCCTTAGGTCTAAATGTGTCATTTTATTAGACATGTTATTGTTTTCAAATTAATTAATTAAATAAAATGTATTTATTTTAAAAAAAAATGTTTGCCACAATTCCACTCAGATACAGAACTTGTTTTATGTTTATATTTATAAATAAAAGTATCTGATATCTAATATCTTGCCTCCTGCTTCAATGTAGTTTGCTACTTTTTGTTAATAGTAGTAGTGTATAAAAGTAAGAGTAATTTTACTGTACTTGTGAAACTTCCTAAGCTGCTCATAATTTACTAGTATAGTTAAGTTCCATTTTAAAAAGCTTTTTTAAAATGCACAAATATCAAATGACATACTTTTATTTATAATACATAAATTGTCAAGCAGTGTTGGGGATAACGCATTAAGTAATGAGAGTTTCGTGATCAGATTACTTTTTCAACTAAAGTAACACATTACTTTTACATTTACAAGAAAATATCTGTTACTTTTTCAAATAAGTACCGTAATGCAAGTTACTTTGTTTTCCCATGTATTGACTAACATCTGTCCTGTCCCCATGTTGAAAGAAATCAGGAGTAACTGTACGTTCACACCGCCGCCAACTTGAGCTTCCAAAGCGGCCGGAAGTCATTCATTTTCAATGGAAGTTGGCTTCTCTCAGCTGTTTTGGGCGTCAATCAGAAAGTTGAAAGAAGCTCAACTTTATGGTAATGAGCTGTGACGCGGTTCAGCGGCAAGCAGCGGCAAAACGCCAGCAACCAATCGGAATATAGGCGTCCTTCGCGCTGGCTGATTCCGGAGAAACATACGATGTAAACTTTCGTTCCTACCAAAACATTAGTTCCGAGAAAATGGAGGAGAAGCTAATAATCGCCATTGCTGGGTTTCCTATCATTTATGACATGACGTTATTTATTTGAAATATTTACGAATGCTCGTTTTAAGCGGGAATGCAATTCATTTGCTCACAGTGACACCGATTTGACCAATTGCACTAATGCAAATAATAGCCTAATGCAAATAATAATAATAGCTAATTATTTTTTTTTCCCCCGACCAAATGTGACCAAAACGGTTATAAAAATGCTGTCATTATAAAAGGTTTCTTCAATGTATTGCTTGTTTTTTCTGTTTATTACATTTCATGTTGTGACACTTCTATTCTCCCTGCAACGTCAGAGCGTTCAAAGCGTCAACAAGCTTCCCCGTACTTTTTTGACAAGAGTCCTTGACAGGGCGGCCAGAGCTTCTTTGACGCTCAAGTCGGCGGCGGTGTGAACGTACAGTAAGAGCAGAGACGTGTGCGCTGCGTAAACATGACATTTATTGTAGTTATAGACAAAATGTGAGCGTGCATTTACTCACCTTACATGCACAAAAACAGATTCAGCATTCCTCAAAATGAATAAAAACAGTGAAATGCTAACTCAGGATCGTACACAAACCCGCAATAATTAAATATGTTATATACACAAATTTGCTTTACGTATTTAATCTAATTTATTAAACGTATCTCTGCTGCTGACCTTCAATGATCCTATTCAACCATACAGTACTAATAATAAGCAAGTTTATTTTTCTCTCTTTTTTTATTGCTGAAGTAAGAATGTTGAACTTCTCCTGTCCTATTCCTCTGCGATCCAGAATGGATCACAGCTGAAAGATTAGTATGAGCTACGGCCTCTACTGTTCAAGCGTGAATTTGCATTTCCTTCAGCCTGAGGCTTATTCATTTCACTTTTGGTGTGAAAGGGACTTTACATTTTCCAAAAATGGATTTATTAAAAAACAAGCAAGCCCAACCCAGATGAGAAAAAGTAAGGGAACGCATTACTTCCCATAAAAAGTAACTAAGTAACACAATTAGTTACTTTTTTAGAGAGTAATGCCATATTGTAATGCATTACTTTTAAAGGTGAACTATGCAGGTTTTTTACCTCAACCGATCAGCTTCGGAGTCATTGGAAAGGTTATATTACTCTTTTCGGGTTGAATGGTGGTCGTTTTGCACCCCCCTATCGCATGTGAGCGGAAGAATCACACTTGCAACTTTGAGCCGGCCGCCCGCAGCATCAGGGAGTGTCACGTGATATCAGGTCTCGCGATGTAACGAATTGCTTTACGGCAAAAAACAGATCTGATAAAATGAGCATCAAACAGAAATAACCCGGCGCCGTATACATGTGGTGTTCAAGGCGCACATACAATACAGACTGCCGACAGTTAAACAGGGCGCGCGCAGCTCTTAAAGGGGCCATACCTTATTTCCACTCGTTACAGCGTCCATCCTACTGAACAGGTACCGGTGTACAGGGGGAGGGGATCCGGCCGTGAGTGCGAGCCATCTCTGCGTGAGTGCTATTCACGACAGTACAAGTACTCCACAGCGAGTCTAGGGGTCGCTGTTTGACAAAA